AGGAAAATTATCCATGTGATGCTCTTAGTTTATGGTTTTCATATCTGTTTTAATTATTAAGACATCAGTCAGTTTCTTCTGTATGTCCAGTGTATCATCTTTTTCCATGCCATTCTTGTAGCCATTTGTAAATCCACTTTCAACTCAGTCTCAGGTAAAATTTGTTCCCTTTCTATAACATCTTTTAGACCCAATTCCTCCGTAGATACAGATGTCTCTGTTGACACTATTAATTTCTGGGTCCATTTTTCAAAAATATGCTTCACTATGTCCAATGTTAGAACATTTTGTATCTTTGCCCTTTGCCTTCATGTTCTTTTAATGACCTTTTAAGAATTGTTTGCTCAGCTACTAAGCTTATAAACACAGGTGGTAAATGGCAGAAACCAGTTCAGGCTATTTCTGAATCATCACAGGCGTGTATTAGTTCTAAGATCTTTATTCTGATGCCATACTGTCATTTGAAACTCTGGCCAAGCAACATTTTTTTTTAATATAGAAGGAAATAAATGACGTCAGAGTTGCTTATGCACTGCAATTGTGTTTTTAAAATATATTTTATTTATCTGTTCCACTTGCTAGTGTATACCCAATAATTCTGGAATACATCTTATAGATGTCGCCTTTATTGTTAGCTCTAGGTCAGGCTTTCTTGATCTAATATTAGCTATTGCTTAAAACCAAAGAGAGAAGCAACCTAGAACTAAGGAGAAACTTCCTGACAGTTAGAACAATTAACCAGTGGAACAACCTGCCTCCAGAAGGGGTGAATGCTCCAACACTGGAAGTTTTTAAGAAGAAACTGGACAGCCATTTGTCCAAAATGGTATAGGGTTTCCTGCCTGAGCAAGGGGTTGGACTAGATGACCTCCAAGTTCCTTTCCAACTTTATCATCATCATCATCATCATCATCATCATCATCATCATCATCATCATCATCATCATCATCATCATCATCATCATCATTATTATTATCACATAAAATGTATCATATTCCTAATCTGGGATAAACAATTCTGCCTAGAGTCTTTTCTTTAATATTAATATTACAAGGGCCTGACTATCTGGGGGACTATCTGTCTCCCATAGTATCCACCCATCCTGTATGATCCAACAGAATTGGCACACTCCTGATCCCATGCCTTCTCTGTTATAGCACCAGTCCTGTGGAACAATATTCATATTGCCGTAGGTGAGGTGACCTTTCAAATTTGGTAAATGCCTAAATATTGCATGATGGTAACGACATTTTCCCAGTTTTTAAGCTTGGCAACCCAAGTTAAAACAACAATAGTTCATGCCATTTGGCACAAAAATAATTGTTACTTTGACTTCTGCATACAGCCAGCCAGCAGTTAAAACCTGAATACAGTGAATCAGCTTATTGATGTTATGTGTAGTCCCTTCAGTGTTAACCAAGCTTTAGGAGTGTGAGAGCTGTATTCCTATTCATGGAACTTTGAGTTATCTGTTTCGTTCAGATCACAGTATTTTTTACCCTCTGTTGTAAAATAGGGAGCCATTAATAATTGGTTCTATAGTTTAACAGTACTAGTGTCTCTGACCTGATGCGTAGTTTCAGCATGTGCTTCAGTCTCCATATGAATGACAAGTTGTTAATACCTCTCACACAATATTGACTATTGTGATTGGCAACAATAATCCAGAATATTATGTAGATCCACTTCCTGTTACTTCTTCATTCATTGATTCATTCATTTCTTTAAGAGGGCAGAGACTAATCCTTTTGGAAGCAAAGCAAGTAATTTAACCCTGAGCTGTGGGTTTCCTTAAGATGACAAGAATCACCCAAGAATTGGTTCTGTTGTTAAAATGACAACCTGGGTGCAGTTTTATTCATGTTGTAACCCAAGGAGGCAGCCTGGTGTACTGGAATTGATGCAGAATATGGGTAGGTGATATAGATTATGTAGCAATGCATGCAAAGCAATGTTGTCTGTGTGACAAACAATAATTTTGTTCTCCTGAAGTGCTATAGATCAGGGGTCTCCAACCCCTGGTCTGTGGACCAGTACCAGGCCGCGGCATGCCAGCAACCGGTCCGCACAAACAAGCAAAGCCCCATCCGCGGGATGCAGGCAGCACACAAAACCATGCCCCCTCTGGTCCGTGGAAAAAAACCTCTTTCCACGTAACCAGTCCCTGGTGCCCAAAAGATTGGGGACCTCTGCTGTAGATGCCTAATAATAGAGTTGTGAAGTCAAGAGTTTCACGCTTTTCCTGAATGCATTGTGTGAGAATATTCATTTTTAATTCAGTGATTCATGTAAAGGATGATTCTATCTCTATTAGTTGAAAGAGCAGGGGCTTGGCTCTTACATAGGACTTTCTATGAGAGAGTATCTTCAGTAGTCCCAAAGGAACGTATGCCAGAATGTTGAAGATCCACAGGTGAGGATTCCTGATGTGTGATTTATTTTGTTAAGATATATTGTGATTTTTTTAAAAAAAACAAAACTTAACTATTCATGGGAGAATTGTAAGCTGCCTAGTATTTGATAGTTTGGAGGGGCACAAAACCTTCATAAGTAAGTCTATAATGAAAACATAATACCTGAATTGTTTTTCTCCCCTTTTTAACAGAGGAGGAGCTAAGAAAGCTCAGAGAAGAAACCAATGCTGAAACACTTAAACAAGAGTTAGAAAAAGAACGCTTGAGGAGGATAGAACTGGAACAAAAAGTCAATGAAATTCTGAAAGCAAGGTAAGAAGAGATCTGTCTGCAAGGTAGAATGTAATTTGAGTTTTAAAAGAGAAAAATCTATTCCCGAAGGCAATGAATACATGTTTGTATCTACCCCCTTATTTTGTATGTTGCTTTGTAAGATGTTTCATTTCAAAAAGTGGGACATGAATGCAAGAAAATTGTCTTCTCTAACCCCCCCTTTTCCCTTTCTCACCCTGTCTTTTTTGTACCGTGGAAATATGGAAAAGAAATACAAAATAGTACAATAGCATAAATTTTAGCGGCTTTTCTATGAGTATGCATATAAGGATTGCAGTAAAATAGCATCTGCTTCTGGGAGGCATTTTGCCAAGGGAACAAGTGTCTAAATGATTTGAAAGGGTCTGATCATCCATTTGTCTGGTATAAATTACATTCTGTCACTCCTTGTAGTTTACAAGCTGTGAGCAAGTTTTATCACATAACACAACTATAATTAATGCTAGCAGTGCCTTTTTTTGGCAATTTGGGGGCTGTAATTGTGTTCGTTATTTCCTATATGACCACACTTATGTAATCCTCAATGGAACTAAATCTACATAGAGGGAAGCATGCAGTGGGGTATCTGAAGGTTCTTTCTTGGGCCCAGTGCTCTTCAACACCTTCATAAATGATTTAGATGGGGGAATAGAGAGGGAAATTTGCAGACAATACCAAGCTGGGGGGAATTTCCAACACTTTAGAAGATAATGACAGTGACTAGCAGATACCGGTAGTGACAGTGATGATGTTACCTAGTTTGGGTAATGAAACATCTGCAAGAAAACAAGCAAGCTCAGAATGCACCAAGAAACCCTCATTTCAACCATGAGCTACAAATATTCTCCTTTATTGGTATCAAAGAATATCAACCTCCATTAGTCTTCCCTAATTAGATGTATTCTGGCTGGGTTTGATGGACATTGTAGTCCACTGCTTCTTGATTACTAATCTCTGTCTCTTATCATAAATGTGAACCACAGAAACTTAATAAAATGTTTTTAAATTAGACTGATGACTACAAGAAAGGAAGCTTAGATGTATTCAACTGACTTGGTTAGTGGAAGTGAATACTGCAAGATTATGTGCAACCCTAATTTGTACTCTTGATTACAAAGACACACACTTGCTAATGCTGTAATAGTGTTTTAATGATTTATTCCAAAAGAATAACGAGACACGTGCTTTGAACAAGTTTTCCTTTCACCATTGTTGTATGGATATGGAGTACGCATGGATTCCCTCTCTCTTCCTAGGCAATATTATTGGCTCAGTACAGGAGGAAAGAGAACGAGGATCAATTCCTAGCACTTTCCTAGCCAGCTATTGGAGAACAGGAGATAATTTTACTTGTTTTCGATATATATTTCAACTCTTGTAACTCAAAATTTGCCTTTAGAAGGGTTTAAATGCTGAAGTACTTTTGGAACTGCAATAAATATGGATAAACCCATACGTATAAACCCATACGTATATTACCTGCCTGAGCAAGGCTTTGGACTAGAAGACCTTCAAAGTTCCTTCCAACTCTGTTATTCTGTTAAACTCTGAAGAGACAATCTGGTATCCTGAAATGTTTTAGATATCTGCTTCTGTTGTGAATACAATCCAAAACCTTTGGGATAGACTGGGCATCCTCATAGTATAAACTTAGTATTGCTTATTGTGAAACAGAGCAATATTAGAGAGTAAGTCTCTTTAAGGAGTCTAAAGTCTGAATATATGTTATTTCAAACCCCGCGGGGCACTTCCAAGGTGCTCAGGAACATTGGCTAGATGTCATGTTTAATTTTTGCATTACACAATGCTAGCTGTAGAAATAAACAAAGTTTGTTAATTCTTTGGCACTCAGTCCTGGATATTTCTGAGGTGAAGATAGATTTGGGAATGTAAACCTATACTTTGCTGCTGTGTAAAATTGTATGGCATGAGCCATTCATGGCCAATTGCATGCTATTCTAATTGCAGTGTGCCAAAACACAAATTAACTTGATATTGCCACCAATAACTTTATAGAAATCGGTTACAAGAAAATAAGATGGTAAAGGAGATACAATGCCATTCTACAAGAGTAATCTTGTATAGAATTACCTTGATATCATACTGTATATGTTCTTGGCTAGGCAGGACTACTCCTAAGATATTTCTGTTCATATATTTTAATACCATTAATCATTAATGCAATCAAGTATCTTTCTTGAGTGCCTCCCTGATTAAAACTCCACTTCTATGTATGATTTCAAAGAAGATGGTATCTCATTACAGGCATGCTGCAATCACTCAAATGTTTATTTGAAGAGGATGGGATAATTATGTTTTGCATATTGCATCTTTCCAGGACAAACCTGCAAAGAGTAGTACACAACTGTATCATCAATTGGAAGAGAGAAACACTGGAGATGTCTCTTTCTTTCTTTCTTTCTTTCTTTCTTTCTTTCTTTCTTTCTTTCTTTCTTTCTTTCTTTCTTTCTTTCTTTCTNTCTCTCTCTCTCTCTCTCTCTCTCTCTCTCTCTCTCTCTCTCTCTCTCTCTCTCTCTCTCTCTCTCTCTCCATTCAATCATTCATTCATTCATTCATTTGTTCAATGTATAGAGATGCCCATCTTGATGTAATGACTCTGGGTGACAATAAAGTATATAAAATATACAAAGTAGCAACAAAAACCAACCAATGTACAAAGTTTATACTGACCACCAAAGTAAAAACCCAATCTAGAAAACTTCCAACTACCTCCTTACCCACCTGTCTGAGTCTTTAAGGAGTTGGGTTGATTTTGTAAATCCAGCCAGTTCAGGGCCAGTCTAATCTTAGCGGATAAAAGAAAAGAAAAGTCCCAACTCCCCTTTGAAGGTTCAGTAAGATGACATCCTTTAATTAATACAGGGGTCTTCAAACTTGGCCCTTTTATGACTTGTGGACTTCAACTCCCAGAATTCCTCAGCCAGGCATGCTGGCTGAGGAATTCTGGGAGTTGAAGTCCACAAGTCATAAAAGGGCCAAGATTGAAGACCCCTGAATTAATGGGACCTGCAGCATGCATCTGCTTGCCAGACCTAATGGGAAGGGAGGAATCAGCTGGGGAGAGGTGGTGCTGAAAATATGCCAGCATCATGCTAAGAAGGGTTTTATGTGTGACAACCAGCACTTTGAATTGCACCCAGAAGTATATTTGGAGATGACACTGCTGGCAGAGCAGTGGTATAACACGAATACATTGAGATGCACTGCCCATAACTGCCTGCATGCAATGTTGTATTCTGGATCAGTTGGAGCTTCTAGATGTTCTTCAAGAGCAGCCCCATATAGAGGACATTGCAATAATCCATTCAGAAGGTGAACAAGGCATGAATGATCATGAGGAGCCTGGTGCCTTAGATGCACCTGAGCATTTTAGTCTTTCACAATTTCAGAATAAAGAATTAAATTTAGACAAGCAAACCAGTGAGGTGGTTCCATTAGTATTGACATCCTTTCATCTACTATTCTTTGTTTTAAGTCTGTTCTTGCAGTTTTTACATTTTTAAAAATAATGATTAACGATAATGATTCTGGGAGTTGAAGTCCACAAGTCTTAAAGTTGCCAAGTTTGAAGACCCCTGGCATAAACAAAGCAGCTCCCTCAAATTAGAAAGAAGCCATTGCCTTAAAAACCTTACAGAGCTGCTTTAAAAGTTGTCCCAACTTGGCTCTTCAAAGCAGCTCCTTCGATTTATCTTCCTTGCGGAAATTCTAAGATAAGAAATCCTCTCTCCGTTCCTTTGAAATATCGACTTTTGTGTTGTTCAATGAATGTATTCTAAAGTGCACTTGTTTCGTCATTTGTTTTAGAGCAGCAGACGAATCGCCTCCATCTACTCAGCAGCCGCCCAAAGCACAGAATGGAACAGGTATATCTGGCTCCTTACTAAAACTGTTCATGATTACAGAAGGGCTTTACTTTAATTGTAGGAGTGTGGAAGAGCAACAAAATCAAGAATGCCCCTGTTTACTAGTAGAGTTTTATAAATGAAATATTTAGCAGAATGTGCATCTCTCTGCCTTAACCCATTCTGTTATGTAGAAATTGCAGTCTCGTTCTACATTGAAAGTGAATAAAAAATAAAAGCTGGCTTTTTTAAAAAAAAAAATCTAAATTTGACTTTTTAAATTTAAATTTGATTTAAGAGTGGCACAGTGGTTAGAATGCACTACTGCAGGCTAACTCACTGTTCACTCTAGGACAGTGATGGCGAACCTTTTAGAGACCGAGTGCCCAAACTGCAACCCAAAACCCACTTATGCATCGTCGAGTGCCGGGTGGGTGTGGCCCATTGGGTGGGCGTGGCCCATTGGGTGGGCGTGGCTGCAGTGGTAACGGCAGACTGGGTGGGACTAAAAAGTTCAATCAATCAATTCCAACTTTGCAAGATCTTTTTTTTTCCCACAAGAAGTTGAAATTGATTGATTGAACCTTTTTTTTGTACACGGTGGCGGAGGCCTAAAGTGAAAAGGTTTTATAAAACCCAGCTGAAGGCCTAGGACTGGGGCGACGTTGTGCGTGCCCACAGAGAGAGCTCTGAGTGCCGCCTCTGGCACCCGTGCCATAGGTTCGCCACCACTGCTGTAGGAGTTTGATTCTGACCGGCTTAAGGTTGACTCAGCCTTCCATCCTTCCAAGGTCGGTAAAATGAGGACCCAGATTGTTGGGGGCAATATGCTGACTTTATAAACCACTTAGAGAGGGCTGTAAAGCACTATGAAGCGGTATATAAGTTTAAGTGCTATTTTTTTTTTTGAGAAGGATAAAGAGAAACTCAGCTAATCTACACACTCAGCTCAGCATAGAAAAAAAAAAATAAGGTGGCCGAAAGCTAGTTAAATCAGGCATTGTGCTCTCTGTTCTGTGGGCATCTGAGTAAATTGTCAAGCTTTATGTCTGACCGTTCATCATGAGCATTTGGAGTGGGGTGAAAGGATACTTTTTATTGGAGTAAGGAAGAATTATTCCAAGGAGAACATGGGAAAGAGGAAAAACATAATTTTTTCTAGGGTAAATGTCTCTGCGTTCCCAGGTATAACATATTTAATCTCCCTGGCAATACTCATGAAAAATGTACTATGGAAAATTATGGATTCACAACAGATCCTGATCAAATGTTTGAGGATGATGTGAGTTCTGTCACATCTGGAAATGATCAGATTGACAATCGTAAAGGCCTTCCCTCTGCAAAAGAAAAGCAGAGAAAATGTATACACTGATTGATCTAAGACAAGCTTTACCAAAATCTACTTTGTGGATAGGGCCTGTTCCCCAAGAATCCGACAAATGAGGCAGATCTTTCTTTGCTGAAATGTATCTTGTCTGTCATGGGAAGAGGTTGTTATATTATCTGAAGATGGGGATTACATCATGGAGAAGATGGTGTTCTTTGTTGCCTCAGAATAAATATATTACAAAGATAAAACCAAAATAAATAGTTTACAGTGATTTTAACATAACAGATTCTCTTTGTAAAATACATGAATAAATATAAATTTTCAGAAGCAGTTAAATTCATAATTGGCTGCTTTGTGGATGAATGAATGCAATATTTCTTGAAACAGAGGACTTGAAATAATATTTATGGGAGTTCTCATTCATGCATATGAGCTATTCTGCAAAGCTGTTTAAAGTTTTATTTAGCATTTTATTAAATTCCTACTTGTCACACCTGGTTACTTATATGAGCCACAACTGAAACTGTTGCTTCTGTCTTATGACCTTTTATGTAAACTTATTTCTCTTTAGAGCTACCGTTTTTTTGTTTTATTCACATTTTAAAAACTTTGTTCTCTCCAGAACTTACTTTCTCAAAAAACATTGGCAGTGGAAGAATTCTCATTGCTTCTTAGGCAGATTTCTGTCCCTTCTGTTACTAAACTAAAATCAAGTCCGAAACCACACAAAATTTAAGTTTGAAATAGTTAGTTCATAGTTTCCAGGGGTATCTCAGAATTGTTCTACCCGCTCTTATCTTACCCTTTTTGTGGCTTGATGGCATATTTACAAATAGAGCACTGGTAACTACCCAGCATTCTTATTTTCTAAGGGTGTTTGTGGAGGCTGTGTACTCCATGGACATGTTTGTAAAATTTTGAGGCAGATGTTTTGTTTTGTATCCTACCAGTTTCCTTTTTAATTTTGTTTTTGTTTTTTGTGTAGATTAGAGAATGCTTGTGGAATCCATATGGACTCTGGCAGTCTTCTTGGAAATAAACATGTGACATAAGCCCAGTGCTTTGCTTTGCAAATGCCAGCTTCCTCCTGGCTTTATACTATGTTTTTACATGTTTTTACATGATGTTGAATCAACAACTGGTAGTTCTAGCTTTATCTTTGCTTTCATAGGCTGGCTGCATCAAGAAAGAAAAAAAGAGCGTTCTTCTAAACCTAAATGCTAAAGTCCTAAATCAATGTCCATTTGAGTATGAAAGTATGAGAGGCTAGTGCAGAATATAGCTTGGTGGCATAATGTCAGAATTGAATTCTATAGTCCGTCTACAAAGCAGGATAAAGACATAAGAATAGGAGAATAGCCCCGCTGGATCAGGCCAAGACCTGTCTTAGTTCAGCATTTTGTTTCTCCCAGTGGCCAACCAGATGTCTCTGAAGGGGTCTCAAGCAGGAAGTAGAGACATAACCCTCTCCTGCCACTGCTCCCTTGCAGCTGGTATTTGGAGGCATGTTGTAGCTCTTGATGGACCTGCATCTATGAATTTCTCCAATTGCCCTTTAAAGCCCTTGAAGCTAGTGGTGATAAAGAATGTAATGAATTCCACAAATTAATTAGGTTTTATGTGTAAGGACCTACCTCATCTAGGCCTCCCAAGAAAGCAGAACTCTTGAAATAGGCATTGTCTCAAAAGGAACTTTTATTAGGGGCTAGTGACAGCAGGAAAAACAAGGCGAGGTCTGAGGAAAAACCCGTGCAAGCAGCATATTAAAAGCAATATTCGTTACTCCCCCCCCCCCAGGGTCACAGTGTCCATTTGAATCCCAGCCAATCCACAGGTGGCATATTGTTTTGGTAACTGGCTCCTTTGGCGAGCTCTTCAAGGTCTCTCTCGCTTTCATTTCTCTCTGACTCCAAGCTCAAATTGTCTCCTAGATAAGGGTGATGCATTCCTTCTCCTGGAGGAAGGGCATAGTGGCAAGACAGTGCAAAGCATCCCCAAAGCATCCCCCCTCCCAACAGAATGGCAGCCCTGAAGAATGGTTACAAAATCATATATGCTATAGGAAGAAAAGCAAAACATTTCTTCGGGGTTCTGACATTATGCTTTGATTTGTCTAAATCTTATTTTAATCAGCATCATTGTAAGAACAACAGCAGCAGAAAAATCCGGTCCCAATGTTTTGAGATCATCCCTGATCATTTTCTCCATCTCATGTATAATTTCTTACTCCTCAATCGTGCCCCCCCCTCAAATCACCTTTGGGATCTCAGATATTCTACAATGATCTCCTAGGGAAGTTATCTGACTTTCCCTAATCATTTTTTTCCCGTCTTTTGCATTTTTGCCAGCTTGGTTACATTTTTGTCAGATACAGTGAGTAGATCTATACACAACATACCAGATGTTATAGACAGAACACAGAGATGACCATGAAGAAGCTATGTGATGGCAATTGCAGGATGCAGAATAAACTGCAGCTCTTTCTCATTTTAGAATATGCCAAACTGAGCATAGTTCATCTCCACAGAAAACTCAAAAAATCCAGATGGTTAGCAGTAGTAACGCATTCAGACTTGGACGAAAATCAATTCCAATATGAGAATTCCTGGTGAGCCCGTTTATCAGTGGACAAGTTTAGTTCCCTGGTTGTTGTAGGGCAATAGATTCTGTTAATATTAATTATCCTGCCATCTAAGTATTTCTGGTTATGCTTCAGAGTAATTGCTTCTGTCAGTAGTTTTGAACTGATTGTTTTGGAAATGCGATGTGTTTTTGATTATTAGATAAACGCAGCCACATGGTGTGTTCAAGAGTTCAGAAGTGGATTTATGATAAATTTGGAGAATATATTGAAGATTTTAGATTTCAGCCAGAAGAAAACACAGTGGAAACCGAAGAGCCGCTTAGTGCTAGACGGTAAATTATATTGGAAGGCTATTTCATTATGTAAAAACAATAAATATAAAAGTCACTGGACTCAATGTACATAGGTAACAAACACTATAGCGTTAATTAAAGTCGTCTTAATACTATCATCATTTGATATTGGATAATCTATATTTTATATCTTATAGTTCTTAATTGTTACTTTTATATTTGATTTATACTGAAATGGAATTTTAAAACTACTAATTTTTGTCAAATGTATTTCTCTTTGTTTCTTTCTCACTCATTTGTGTATGTGCGAGTATGTGTCTTTGTATTTCTGTAATCAGCAACAGTATGTATTACAGTTCCATACTTTTATTCTAACTCCGAGCTTCCAAAGATTGGCTATCTTAGTTGGGGGCGCAGTGGTTAGAATGCAGTACCACAGGCTAATTCTGCTGACTGCCGACTGCCACCAATTGGGCAGTTTGATTCTAACCAGCTCAAGGTTGACTCAGCCTTCCATCCTTCCGAGGTTGGTAAAATGAGGACCCAGATTGTTTGGGGCAATAGGCTGACTCTGTAAACTGCTTAGAGAGGGCTGTAAAGCACCGTGAAGCGTTATATAAGTCTTAAGTGCTATTGCTATTGCTAGTGCTAAAGACAGCTCTAAAATGAATGTATTAATGCATATCATTTTAGAATCAAGTCTGCATTAGATGTACTAATAGGAAACAGAAATGCATTAATTTTCAAAAGGGTTTTTCTAAATATTTTTTCTTTACTTTCAGGCTAACAGAAAATATGAGAAGATTAAGTAAGTATTTAACCATGTTTATATTGTTTATATATCTGTAATGGGCTGACATATCAAATGCAGATGAGTAACATTTCAGTAAGATTTCTTTCATTTTGAGTGAGAGAATGAAAATTGGCTAGACCTAGAATATGCAATGCAAACAAGTGATAGATTTGCACATTCTGTTGATGTCTCCTATACTAAGAGAGGCAATGTAGTATAGTGGCTTAGGATTACTAGCAGGGAAAGCCAGTTTTAGGCTACCAAGTTTTAGAGTTTGGGCTAGTATTCTGTCTCTGAATAAGTTTACCTGACAGAGATTTTACAGGGGGAAAATAAGAAGAGTTATGTATGCCACAGAGCAAGCAAACAAATTACCGTAGATTTAGGATGCTTCTAATATGAATGATTTGGGGATAGGTTCAGATGAACATGCTCATTGTTATGAACTTCAAGAGGCAATTTACATGTGTGAAATGGATCATAACAAGAGCAAAGCCCCTTTATTATTTCTCTGTTTCATTGGAGACTGTTTTGTACTAGTTTGTAGTTTAGTAAATCAAGTGATATAAATCAGTTGGTTATTCAGCTCCTAGCATCTGGACTTTCCAAAAATAACAGATAGCTTTGCTTAAATATGAAGTAAGAGAAGATTGTGGATAAGAAGATCATACAAATGGGTGCCTATGAATTATCTGTAAAAATATTCTGAACAACATTTGATTTGTGTTTTTTTTAAAATAACTGTCACTACTTTTAGTCTTTGTATGTTTTCTTGTGCCATTTTGAATTGTACCGGTAAACCACATACCTAAGAAGTTAAAGTTATATCTATATTTTCTGTTCTGCCTAGAGAGAGGTGCCAAACCTGTTACAAATTTTGTGAAGAATCTTTCTGCCTTATCGGACTGGTTTTCTGTCTACACTTCTGCTATTGCCTTTATTGTAAGTTGTTCTTTCTTGGTTGAGCAACACACAATTTGACTAACAGAATAATGTTCTGCTATTTACATTCTGTTGTAGAAAAGAGAATGATGAAAATCATTAACAATTCTATCAATATTTGCTATTGTTCATGATTTCTTTGAAAATGTGGCTTAGTATCAATCTGATGTGCTACATTCAGTGCATTGAGGTAGTCCTTAACTTATGACTATAATGGAGCCCAAAATTACAGGTACAAGTCATTGTGATTGTAAATCGAGGTATTACGTGGCTGGATCGGATTTTTTGTTATTTTTTGTGGTTGTTAAGCAAATGCCATGGCCATTAAGCAAACATGGCATTGTTAAGCAAATCCATTTTACCCAATGGGCATTTTTTTTACTAGAAACTGGAAGTAAATGGCCAGAAACTTGCAAAAATGTTGAGAATTGTCACATGATCAAGGGACACTGCAAACAACCATAAGAGTGTGCCAATTGCCAGGTGCCCAAAATGCAATCATGTGACTACAGGGAGGGGGTTAATCCATCATATCTTCAAAATCAGTCATAAGTAGCTTTGGGGGAGGGTTCATCATAACCTTGAATGGTTGCTAAGTCGAGAATTTTAATTGGAAAGCTGAGACATCTGCAGGGCAGTTAAAAACAATCAAGCTGAGGGATGTTTGGTATTTTCACCAGTAGGTAATGTTTCTTTATAGAATACAGGTAGTCCTTGTTTTATGACCACAATTGACCCCAAAATTTATGTTGCTAAGTGAGACATTTGTTAAGTGAGTTTTGCCCCATTTTATGACTTCCCCCCACAGTTGTTAAGTGAATCATTGCAGTTGTTAAGCTAGTAACCCAGTTGTTAAATGAATCTGGCTTCCCCATTGACATTGCCTGTCAGAAGGTTGCAAAAGGTGATCACATGACCCTGGGACACAGCAACTGTCATAAATATGAACCAGTTGCCAAGCATCCAAATTTTGATCATGTGATCATGGGGATGCTACAATGGTCGAAAGTGTGAAAAATGGTCATAAGTTACTTTTTTCAGTGCCGTTGTAACTTTGAACAAAACAAACTGTTGTAAGATAGGGTTAGGGTTAGGGTATTATTTTTCAGTTGCCTCCATCATTCCAAACAAAAGAAGACTTAATATATCTTTAAGAAGTGACACTTAAAGAAAATCTTTAAATTGACTAAGTATTGCCTCTGTTATGAGAGGTTTTACACCATCTGAGTCATGTTCAGTGAAATGGATCACTGTATAAATTTGTTTAACTAACAAACAATCAAACAAATAAATATTGTATATTTCTTTTTAATTTAAAGAAAACTGCATCCATGCATCCATGAGCTTCTGAACAAAGACTGGATAGAAATTTAAGAAATACATGACATTAGGGATGTTTTGCTTTTAAATTTACATAGTGAAAATAATGTGATTAATATCTAATTCAAGGTATGTAGGATTGCTACATCCTATTCATTGCTGTTAAAATGTTTTAATATAATAATTGCATGTTAACATATGTAGTTTATTTGTTTTTTATTTGCAGATCTACATGAATGCTGTATGGCATGGCTGGGCCATTCCTATGTTCTTATTTTTAGCAATTTTGAGGTTGTCCCTAAATTACCTCATAGCCAGGTAATCACTTTTCAATATGTTGTCAATAATATGTATGCCTCCAACAGTATATACCGTTAGAACTTATGCAATTTAAAATGGTATATTGAGCTTATCTAAATAAATAAATAATATATATTTATTTTGTCTTCCTATTTAATGCACTTAATTTTAAAATTAGTTACAAAATAGGAAATTCCAATCTTTGATGCTCTTGTGCTTTAAAAATTAGGGCTGTGTAAAAATTTTGTACTGCCCATGGAAATATTTGATTTCTAGCTTTTTAGTTGTCTCAGCGGATGGCAGCACCTGGCGAACAGTCTAGGATAATTTGCTTCGGCCATCTCATCCCAGCCATCTCACCATGTCCAACTCGCCTGGATCATCTTGCTGCTGCCAACCCGGCGTGGCCATTTTGCCGCAGCCAATTCACCACAGGACAATTCCACATGGGATAACTCAGCACGATAAATGTTATCTGCTACCATTTCTTCACCGTTATTTCCATTTTTGTCAATGAAAATAATGTCAAAAGAACAGTGGCAGATAACATTTATTGAGTTGAATTATCCTGTGTGGAATTGTCCATCGGCGAGTTGTCTGAAATGAGTTGCCTGCGACCAGCTGTCCTGTTCTGCCTGGCCAACCATGTCTGTGCAGGGAAGCTAAACAGAGTTGGCCTTAATTCTTATGTGGCCGAGAGACTACCAAGGAAATTCCAGGTTTGTTGGCTAAATTGGGGAGATGAGAAACTCCTTGGAAGAAGGTGGGGGTTAACTGTTACCATCCTGTTGAGCTTCAGGATTTAGTGACTGTGATCTAGGGAACAAAATTCCTGATGTTTCTCCAGAAACCGTGGTTGGCATAATCGGAAGCAAGGTGTTCTGCTATACAAACCGCAGGCAACTGAGCAGGACTGGCTGGGCTTCTGTATTTATAACTGGGTGTCCTGAATGCTGAATTATATTTAGCCAACCTGGTTTCCAATTGTTCCACATTGGTGAGAGCTAGTCTTCCAATCTGTTGCCAACCAAACTGCACAGATGTTACTTAAGAACTAGTAGCTGCTAGTGCTAGTGCATAAAGGAAAAGATTTTCTTTCGGGGGCCGTTCAGAAACTCAGGAACTCCCAACCCTTTCTAAAGAGTAAGAATCTCAAAAAGAGATTAAATAAATTGGTTTTGATCTTGGCTTTCATCCAGGATTTTACTTTACTTCTACTCTAGTACGACAACTGTAATGCACTGTGCATATTTATCATCACATTTCAATTATCCTTGCAAACAAAACTTGATTTCTGCTTCACCCTCTGTGTTATGTTTAAATGGAAAAGAGACAAATTGGTTCAATTGCCTTTCAGATGTTTGGGGAATATGAAATTCAGCACAATTGTAGCTTCTTTACAAATTACAATAAGAGGAAAAAGTAAACAACAAACCACAGAATTTGAATTGTGGGTGTGTTAGCAAATCCTTCCCCAACCCTTCCTCATCACATTTTCATGTGCCAAATATATTTCTAATATTATTATTACTTCTACTCACTATTCCTGCATTTCTTGTAATGGAATGGCTTAAACTCAGTCAGCAAGTGTGTTCCATTGAGTTGTACAGAGTCTATTCAGATTCATTGTTTGCAACATTGCCTGCCATGGTCTTTATAGTGAAGTAAACTCTGAAATATGGCCCCATTTTCACTTGTATTGATAGAGATCCTTTTACACAATAAATGTATAGGGGAAGTTCCAATTTCATGTTTTTAGGAAAGTTGAAATACAAATACTTATTTACTATATTTTTATAGTGTGATGGAATTGTTTATTGATCATAATTAGCAGGATGATAAATCCTGATTGCATTGTCTAATAAAGTAATCTACATAGAATCATTACTTTACATGCAAGAACATTGTTGTAATAGCTTGATTATTTCTTTATTTCTTTTTTAAAAAGAATTTTATTAATTATTTGATCTACTGTAATGTATTGAAGATTCAGAGCTACAAGATCCCTTTAAGATGGATGTCAGCACTGTATTAAAGAAAGTTTTTAAATTTTGAAAAGATATATTCTGTTGCCTTCACAGGTTGCTTTTTAAAAGGATCTCTTCTGTTTCATTGTTATAAAGCCACATAGAAAACCAGTGTTCCTGTTTAATGGAAATGCCTTTTTTTTATTAGAGGGTGGAGGATACAGTGGAGCATTGTGCCTGAAGTTTCTGAGCCTATTGTAAGTCCAAATAATGTTGAGATCACTATTGAAATGTTTATATGAATGTTTTGATACGTTTCAAATTTACATAGGTAGTCCTCAAATTACAATCACATTTGGAATCAGAATTTCCATTGCTAAGCAAAGCAGCTGTTCAGTGAGGTGTGCCCAGTTTTATGACCTTTTTTCCATGGTTGTTAAGTCATTGCAGTTGTTAAATGAATCATGTCTTAAACACATCCAACTTCCCCCCTAGACTTTCCTTGTTGGAAGCCAGCTAAAAAGGTCACAAAGGATGATCACATGACCCCAGGACATGTTGTAAACATGCCAGTTGCCAAGCAACCAGATTTTGATCACATGACCACAGGGAATGCTGCTATGGTTGTAATAGCAATAGCACTTAGAGTTATATACCGCTCTACAGTGCTTTACAGCCCTCTTTAAGCAGTTTACAAAGTTAGCATAATGCCCCCAACAATCTGAGTCCTCATTTTACCGACCTTGGAAAGATGGAAGGCTGAGTCAGCCATGAACTGGTTAGGATCAAACTCCTGACAGTGGGCAGAGTTAGCCTGCAATACTGCCTTTTAATCATTGTGCCACCACAGTTCATAAGTGTGAGGACTGGTTCTAAGTCATTTTTTCCAGTGCTGTTATAACTTCAAGTGATCACTAAATATTTGACTGTAAATTGAGGACTACCTGTACTATCTATTAGGCATTTTATACTGATGATAATTTTAATCAACTTTAATTATATTGTGACTTCATATGCTGTCCAACATTTTTGTTATTTTTTAAAATATTGTATAAAAGACCACGTTATAATGTTTAGTTAAAGAAGAAACTTAGAATATATAACTTATATTTTGAAGTATAGGAGTCTAATAAATATGAAATTCTGAAGTATGACTTAAAATAATTTGCCCATGTCAGGGTATATCTAGTTATTTCTTTTTGAGGGCAACTACATCGTTGAGGTCATTTATAAAGAAGCACATTATGTTGGACAGAACCAAGCCTACTTGTCTGCATAAAATTTAAGAGGTTAAATACAAAATAAATGCATAGTCTGCCCTAGAAGCTTAAAAGAAATGTTAAATCTACACTATCTATTTTAATAGTTTATTATGTGTTTATAGTAGTTTGAGTTTAGTTCATCAGGCATCAAGATGTCCTTCAAATACTGTAGTTGCAGTTGTTCCAAACAATGAATCTATTTTAACATTATGGAAAAGAGTGATCCATGTGATCATACTGGTCAGAACATCTAGCACAGGGGTGTCAAACTACCGGCCCACGGGCTGGACGTGTCACGAGGAAACCGCACCCACCCCATTGCCGGCAATGGGGAAAAAGTTCCGATATGTCGTGCGACGTACGTGACGTCGCGAGTTTGACATGTCTGATCTAGCAGAAGCAGTTTGGATTGGATTAAAGTCTGCAAAATATGTGAAACAATCCATCTTCAATTCTTTTGATACTGTTTTATCTCTATGAATCTGGGCTATAGATTGTGGCCCAAATTCTCCAAACTTTCTAGTGCAGACTTGGTATATGGAGCAGACAAGTGAATGTTGTCCACCAGCAGTGTTCAGTCTAGTGATGAAAAAAATGACATTGGCTAGAAACCAACATATATTTACAAAAGCCGGATCTGGTTGTCACCATAAAACATGTACTATTATGTGAATGAATAATACTTGGTAAGCCTCGGGCTCTTATTCTCCCATCTCCCTGCCTTAGGGGATAGTTTTGAGGAATGCATTGGATGGTTTTGTTTCTTTTTAAAATAATCATAGTTTAACAGAGACAGACTGGCTAATTTTAAAGTGCAGTTTATGCAGCTGCTTTCTTTCAGTAAATTATAGTTAAATCATAACATTATTGGAGAGTATTTTTTTCTTTCTTTAAGTTTAAAGCCACATATTCATGTTTCGATGACAAATTATATTTACTGTTTTAGGAACCTCCCAAAGAAGACTTAACTGTATCAGAAAAATTTCAGCTTGTTCTGGATGTGGCACAAAAAGCACAGGTACGAAATCTTTGGCATCTCCATTTAGAAGTTGCAGGTAGGAGTAAGAGATCTCCATATGAGAAATGATGCCTGGAAAGTATAGTCTACTGGACTAGAATGTTTATGGAAGGCAACTTGTATTAATCACAGCATTTGAGAAATAGCAGAACATAGTAAATGTATAGGGTTTGGTTTAAAAAGTAAACTTTTTAAACAGCTTCTTGTTTTTCATATACACAGACATGTATTCCAATCTAATACTCCCTTTCTTTCTTGATTACAGAATTTATTTGGGAAAATGTCAGATATACTGGAAAAAATTAAAAAGTAAGTTTCTATATATTTCTCTTTCTAACAACATATTTTTCATCAGGTCTGAATGGTAATATCTTTAAATGCTGCCTATTTACCTTTATTTTTTGTTCTCTCTTTCTCTCTCTCTCTCTCCAGTTTGTTCATGTGGGTCCAGCCTGAAGTAACGCAGAAACTATATATTGCTTTATGGGCAGCTTTTATTGCATCCTGCTGTATTCCTTACAGGATCATTGGGCTTGCAATGGGTAAAACTATTATATTTTCACATTGTGTGTTTTCTTAAATGTTAGAATTCCACATCCTACTAAAAAATGAGCAGTTGGTTTGGCTTCCATCCACATATACAGTTTATATTTTAACATCACAATGTCTGGAGATGGTTATTAAATGTATCTGTTCTCAACTGTCAGCAGCGTCCTTTTTCTCTTTATTTTTGACTTATTCAAATACAGGTTGCTGAATCAGGTACAACACTAATTAACATAACAACAATAATTATTATTTGCTTGAGTCAATGATCAATCAGATCAGCAGAAATACAAAGACATTCAAGAAGCAATACAATCAATGAAATATATATTTCCTTATCAAACTAAAGGATGTCAGGCTTATATGAGCTATTTAAAGTACAGTATATCACCGTGGTGGCAAACCTATGGCACGGGTGCCACAGGTGGCATGCAGAGCCCTCTCTATGGGCATGTGCGCCGTTGCCCCAGTCCTAAGCCTTCAGCTGGGTTTTATAAAACCTTTTCGCTTTAGGCCTTTGCTGCCATGTCCAAAAAAGAGGTTCAATCAATCAATCAATTTCAACTTCTGGCGAGAAAAAAAGATCTCGCAAAGTTGGAATTTTTAGTCTCACCCAGTCTGCCATTACCACTGAAGCCACGCACACCCAATGGGCCACGCCCACCCAGCACCCGATGATACATAAGTGGGTTTTGGCTTGCAGTTGGGCACTTGGTCTCTAAAAGGTTCGCCATCACTGGTATATCATCTGCCCAAGGACTAAAATCAAACAAATTATTGTTAGCATTCATAAAATAAAATAAAACATAAGGAGCATAATTCCCACCCCGATTCCTAGCATAAAGAAATTGTATAGATATAATGTATAATGTAACCAATTTAGCTATTGACTGGGTAATGTTGGTCTAGATGTCTAACAAAGGAAGTGAGATGAATAGCTCTTCTTCAACTGGTACATCTTGTAGGAGAACAAGGTGACATTTAAGTCCCTGGAATATTTGCAGTATAATAAGAGGTGTCTGCATCCTAAATTGCCTGGGAGTTACCAGGAAATAAATGTTCCAGGAAAGGGATCTTACAATATTTGTGTTCAATAAAAGTGTCAAGGACAATGATAAATTAGGCATTATTTTCAAAGCCAGAAATTGTGTATTCAGCAGTACCTATAAGCTAAATAGTTCTATTTGTAATGTTCTTGGGTGGTTTTCCAAATCATGATTCTTGTGGGGCTGCTTTCTTGATAGAATCCTCCTGTACAGCAGGTTTAGACACTTAACAAAAGTTCTTACTTGACCATTTGTTGCAATAAAGTTTGAAACTCCTTTAAAAAAAAAAAGGCTACTATCAACTTCGGGTGTGTCACTATCTCTGAACCTCTTTCACTTTGCAAGCTTGTCCCAAAGGTGCTTTTTCAAGAGGCAAATGGACTTTCTTGTTTTCCCTTCTCATCCAAGAAGCTTCTTCAGCTCTGGACTGGATGATGGGGAAATTCCCTACCCTCCAGTCAGAGCTGAAGAAGCTTCTTGGATGAGAAGGTAAACGTCTTCAAAGAAAAACAAGAAAGTCCAGTTGCCTCTTGAAAAAGCATCTTTGGGACAACCATGACCTGAATGACTGAAAATCTCCATAGACACCTTGCAAGCTTGCTTTCAAGATGAATTTGGGTGAGGGGGACACAGCAACTATGTGGAGATACTCCCATAACAAGCTATGTAAGCCTGGAAAAAGAGGCAACTGCTTTAATGATCCAATAAAGCATCTTGAGAAATGTCCCTGCCTATTGTTAAAGATCTCTTTCATAGGAAAGGTAGCCCTCGACTTACAACAGTTCATTTAGTGACCGTTCAAAGTTACAACAGCACTGAAAAAATTGACTTATGACCATTTTTCATACTTTATTATTATTATTATTAATTATTATTATTATTATTATTATTATTATTAATTTAATTTATATACCGCCCTTCTCCCGCAGGACTCAGGGCGGTGCACAGCGTATTAAAAACAGTACAAATACAAAGCATAAAAAATACAAACCCCTGTAAAACCAGATTAAAAAACCGAATATTAGAAGCTGTGTCTCTATTTAAAATTATTTTTAAAATCACCCTA